TGGTGGTGGTGGTGGTGGTAGAGGTGGTAGAGGTGGTAGCGGTAGAGGTGGAGGAGGACATGGAGGTGGAGGTGGTGGAGGTGAAGGGAGAGGTGGAGATAGAGGTGGGGGTGGAGGAGGTAGTGGTAAAGGGATAAGAAATAGGGTGAACTAGTGACTGCTAGGTATAAAAAAAACTGTATATCTACACCCCATCATGAGGCTTTTCCTCTCCCTTAAACTTGGTATGTGGTTTGACAGTAACAACCGAATATGCATCTTGAGCCTATCTTACAGGAGAAGTAATAAAACATGTATTGCTTTTAAATAAAATAAAAAAGAATCCTACCTCATTACTCTAATGCTAACTAGATGCTATATCAATTTTTGTCTGTATTATTTCTACATTATCCCTAAACACACTGAATACGTAGAGAGACGAATTGAATTAGCTCCCACTTTATACATCATACTCAGTAATCACAAGTGGTCTATTCATTCCACACTTACTTGCTCAGCACAGAGGTCTGCAAGCTGGTCCCACATGGCTGGTTCATAATTGACTCTATAGTAGCCCTTCTGGTTCACATTCAGTTTTATCCAGCTGACTTCGGGGTCTACCTTTATCGGCACTGAAATATATATGTAGTTTTCTTTACGATATTTTTCTTCCATAATAATAGTCTGCCAATGAGCTCTTGTTTACAGCATTTTGTTTTTATATGATTTCTTGTCATGACTTTCACTTTTCTCTTTTGGTACAAGTGATTCAAAATAATGGTATTTTTGAGTTAAGATTTGGTGCATCAGTGAATGGTTCTCATGATTTCAAAAGCTGCCCTTCCACCTCTACTCTTTCCCACATAGTGCTTACTATCTGGGCTCACCCATAATTTGATGTTTTTGCTCCTCTTACAAAATGTCAATCTCAAAAATGGCTCTCAACAGGATGCCAATTAATGATTAAGGCAAAAAGAAGAAAAGAATGTGCAGGAATATCAGTACTATGAAAAAATGTTATACAGTATTTTGACAATGCACAAGTTCTGAATTTGGTTCATTCATCTGTGCAGCCAATCTAGGCAAACAAATTAAAAGACAGTTAGACTGGGTTCCCCTAAAAGTACACTCATGCATCATTTTCATAGCATCACAATTAAAAGATAAATGGAGAAATGTTAAGCTTTTCTACCTTGTAAATTCAGCACTTGACATCATCAGGGAAAGATATTTGAAAGTTGCACAACAGGTCAGAGAATGTTTTCACTACTGTGAAAAAGTTAACAAGTAGAAGAGGAGCAGCAAAAGCCATGCTGGATAGCTCTTTTTGCAAAGCTGCACTGGAAAAAGAGGCACAAGGGATTCAAGGAATGTATAAGAACTTACACAGACTTTGAAGGAATCCCCTCCCCAGGTCCCACCTAGACCCCTGTTTCGTTGAATGGCTATGCTACCCTGATCCTCTACTGTCATTCTCCATGCTTTTCTCTATCTTTTAAGTGAGCTTGGCATATGTCTTATATTATTGTGTATAACAATTTATACAACTCCTTCCATTTGCTTAAAAGGTTCTATTATTCTGAATTCAACGATTTTCTGAGAGTCATAAAGTCAGGGCAGGAGATTGAGAAATACAATTCATCTTTTCCAATTATTTCTTATAGGAATAATTGTCCTTTTCAAGTTATTTCATTACAGCATAAGAAAGGGATCTATACCCTAAACTGAGGACTACTTTTATAAAAACAGGTATAGCAGATAAAATGGAAATGCATTACAAATTCTCCTTTTTCCACATTCATAGGATAAAACAAAGTTCATAAAAAAATGGAACTTTAGTTGAAAAAACTCAATGCAAAATACGAATGAAAACAAAATTCATCACCATAATGTACATACCTAGCTCCTGCTCCAGATAGTGCCAAGTCTTGTTAAGGGAAGTGTGAGAAGTAATGTATCCAATAGGGATATCCCATCTGTATCCAAACTCTGACTCAGATGGACTGTTGGCATTGGAAAAGGATAATCAATAACAAAGAAATATGTAGTGAAAATAGCTACCAAAATATTATAAAATACACAAAGAAGGTAAGCAAATAAAATGACACTAAACAACAATGTCATGGTCAGTTACTAATACTACAGTGTGAAGGAAAAGTCAAGACAATGTTGTGTTTCAAAATGTTGTGTTGGCTAACATCCAATAATAATTTGATAACAGCTTATATATAACATTCCTCTAACTTCTATATACAAATCATTCAAATAATTCCACATTTACACCCGTACCAGAAATTATTGAATCAATTTTTACTATCAAGTCAATGTCATGTAAAATTATCAATGGAAAAGGTATGGTAGGGGGTCAAGCTTTTCTAAAAGAGAAAAAGAAAGAAAGAAAAAATAAGAAGAAAAGTCCTTACTCATATTCTGCTGTTGGGTCTTGCAAGAAGCGTTCCTGTGTTAGAGTGAAGGTGTCTGGGGCTGACCTCACCACATTCACCACAGGATAGCCCATTTGTCTTGTCCAGGTGTCCATGATAGCACCCACATCACCCTAATTGTGAAATTCTAATAAGATTCTTATATGGGAATTTCATTTTCAAATTAATTTTTAAAAACTTTAATGATTATTCTTTTTATTACTCTATTATCATTGCTCCTATGCAAAATTGGAATTTGATACTATCACCATACGTGAGATATAAAATAAATTAAAATAAACTAAAATCAAAGCACAAATATTTAAGGGCCATTAACCCTATCATGCTGGCATAACATCCTATCATATCCTATTACCCCTCACTCTGGGATCACACCTTTGTTTCACGCACAGTTGAGCCTAGCACACTTACATGTTATTTGGTATAACACTGGATGCTCCATTTGTGATTGCATCAAGTCTTGTGTTTTTTTTTTAGGAGATAAATACTTTAAGGCCATTATCTTCAAGCTGGCAACTAATAACAGTGCCAATAATCACAAAACTTCCACAAAGTTTATCATCACTTTTTATATTTTGATAATGTTTCTAAATTTCCTAACTGGACTGATTTTCAAGGATACTTTGAACAAATTGTCCCAATTTATTCACCCACTAGTATTTCTATATGATAACTTCTTAAATAATTTTGCTTAATAAAATCAACATACTAAAAAGAGCAGCTTCCCTTAAACCAAAAGGTAACACTTTCTGCAACTCAAGTAAACTATACCTTCTCTCCTTCAGGGTGATTTCCCTCCCAGGATAAGGTCAGTTCAGCCCAAAGATCTTTTGTAACAGCATTTGCATAGGCATATTTCTTGAGGAAGGCATTAATTCCTGCTTGGAAGGCATCTCCCATGAAGTCCTCCAGCATTCTTAACACAGATGATCCCTGGTAAGAGAATACACAAAATTGTTGTAACCTTTTTTTCATGTAAAGTAAAAGTATCAGACTAAAATATACATATTTCAGTCACTATATATATCATGAAAGTTATTTCAAAATAATCACAATTCTTAAATTTTAAGAATGTCCAAGAAAAAAAAATCATATCATTTAAATATCTAATTCACTCCCTACAATCAACATGACTTGAGAAGATATTTGGGAAGACTGTATGTCACTACTTTATACGCACCATCACCAACCTTTCTGTAGGATATAGCATCAAACATAGCATTGATCTGGTCAGGCGTGTTCACATTTTTCACAATAGGGTGGGAACTAAGCCGAGAGTCAATTTTCATCACCAACTGCAGACTTTTGCCCAGGAATTGAGAGTCCTACCCAACAGACAACAGACAGAATGCTTATAACATCATATATCTGTCTCTCAATAACCAGTGTATTTCGTACATTTAACCAATAACACAGATACATTTTTAAGAAACCCATCACCTCCATTCATTTCCAAACACGTAAAGAAAGGAACCAAAAATACTCCATCAAGACACATTAAAAAGAAACCAAAAATACTGCATTAAAAAATAAATAAATAAAATTAATAATAATAATAATAATAACAATAATAATAATAATGATAACAATAATAATAACAATAATAATAACAATAATAATAACAATAATAATAACAAAAATAATAATACACCCCATTCTACCACCACAAAATATTAAGCAAATCAAAATATAAACATAACAGGAATGCTTTGGTGATGCCAGTTTGTAAGCAAAAGTAGTTATCATATGTGTGTGTGCGTGTGAGAGAAAGAGAAAGAGAAAGAGAGAGAGAGAGAGAGAGAGAGAGAGAGATGGAGGGAGGGAGGGGGAGAGGGAGGGGGAAACAAAGAGAAAGAGAAAGAGAAAGAGGAAGAGGGAGAGAAAGAGAAAGAGAAAGAGAGAGGAGAGAGAGAGAGAGAGAGAGAGATGGAGGGAGGGAGGGGGAGAGGGAGGGGGAAACAAAGAGAAAGAGAAAGAGAAAGAGGAAGAGGGAGAGTTTGTGTGTGTGTATATGTATATGCATGGGCATGTGCGTGTGTGTGCATGTGTGTGCATGTGTGTGCATGTGTGTGCATGTGTATGCGTGCTTGTGCGTGCGTGCGTGTGCGTGCGTGTGTGTGTGTGTGTGTGTGCATGCGCACGCACATGTACATGTACCTGTGTGTGCATTTGTGTGCGTGTGTATGTGTGTACATGTGTATAGTTGGGCTTGTGCCAACCATCATATAATTCTCATATTCTTGATATACTTCTATTCAAATATGTAAAACATGTAATCTCTGACTGCTTGTTGTGTCAGAAACATATATAATAACTAATAACTAGCAACGGTATGATAATAACAAAACCAGCAATAATATACAAATAATAATGATAATAATAATAATAATAATAACAAAATAATACCAATAATAATAATATAATATCAATAATAATAATACAATATCAAGAATAATAATAATAATAATAACAATAATAATAATATAATATCAGTAATAATAATAATAATATAATATCAGTAATAATAATAATAATATAATATCAATAATAATAATAATAATAATAATAATAATAATAAAGAAAAAATAATCCTCACTTTACAAACTGACTGATTTACAAAGGTTGATTATTAGGAATTGAACCCATCAAATCTAGTACCTTGATAGCATTCAAGGACCATGAACTGTAACCAAAGGTGTTGAATCTAGCTTCTCTATCAAATGATAACCATTAAAAAGACAATATCCCTTTGAAAATTTTCATATAGTTATCTTGTTACAATAGAAGGAACTTTGTGTATATGTAAGGTGTGTGTTTCATGAGGTTGTTTCTTTGGGAAATACTATTTAAGGGATGCTAAGTATTCAATAAATACATTGTTTCGGCACTACATAAACAAGCCACCCACCACCACTAGCATTTACTACTCCAAAGCCTTCCTCAAGTCGAAAAATGAAAACATTGACCAGCAGGTTCCTGAACTGTGACCTGACAGTCCTCCCATCTTCCTTTTTCCTTGGACACTTCAAGATCAGAAAACACTCCAAACCTTATCATACGAAATAGTATCAAACATGGCATTTATCTCGTCAGGATTTTCAACGGTTTGTACTATGGGGTGGGAACTCAGCTTGGAATCATCGACGAAAACCGATTGAAGATTGGTTATTGGAAACTGAGATTCCTGTGTAATCAAGATTGTATTAAGATTAAACATTCTACTTTCATTAAAAGTTATATAAAATAGTCAGATAAGAGCCAAGAGAATTACAAATAAATATTACCTGTAAAGAATCAAAGAAGTTATCATGATCTTCATAAACCCATTGATGATGGATTGAAGCTGTTACTCATTTTCTTACACACAGATGACTCAATAAGTGTATAGTCACCAAGGAGTTACTAGACCTTCCTATATCTGTTTATTCTTTGAATCTTCAGAAAAAAGTTTTATTCTATCCTAATCATATAATTGTCGTTAACCCATTCGCACCAGGTGTCACGTATACGTGACATGCCCACTGTGAGTTTACTTGTTTAATTGTTTTTACACAAAGATGGCTATACTTGTACTTGTACTGCCTGTCTCGCCTGTTTACCCTTTTCATTAATTTACGAAAATATTTTACGTTATCTTATTTTGCTGTTACTATTATTTATAACATTATAGTAATTATAATGTTTATAATAAAAATAACCATCGATATTCATAGCACTAGTAAAAATACATTTTCAAGCCAATTCAAGTTAAGGTGAAATCAGCTAAGGCAGAGCCATCTATATGTAGAGACATTTCACAAAAAGATTTTAAAATGAGTACAGCATTTTCCCCATTTTTGTTCATTTTTACCCGTCACAAATGGGTTAATATCATTACAAGTGTCAACATCATTAACATTGTAACAGTAATGAGAGTAATATAAAAATGGAAATAACTCTTCTTTCTGATAATTCAAGGTATGGAGTAAATGGGTGAGATCAAATAGGTCCAACAACAGACTCCTTACTATTCTTGGTGACTAGCCTAGAACTTGTGGAGCCATTTATGAGTAAACAAAATCATTAAAACAAATTCTTTGTGGACAGAGTTTGTATATATACTCTCTTAACATCTTAATCCTAATTTTGACTAATGAATTTCACTAATAAGATTACAACATGAAACCCATCATTGCATCTCTCTCTAGACATGACCTTAATGTTATCCTTAGTAAGAAATAGACGATTTTTATTTCAATTTTTAAAAATCTTTCATCTAGCACTAGAGAAAACCTATAATAAAGCACTCCAGTTAATAAAAAGAAATATTTTCTTTTTTTTTCTCATAAAACTAAAAAATGATATACTTACCATTTCCCATTCTGGATGAACATGATCCACTCCTTTAAATTCGACATAGCTAGCAAACCCTTCATTCAGCCACAAGTCATTCCACCATTCCAAAGTAACTGAAAAGATATCAGTATCAAGTAATGACAGAATGTCAAGTTAAAAATCTTAAATTCAGTTCATTAATATTTCACAAATATATACATCTCAATGTGCTGTAACTCTTATAAAATCTGTTTGGGATGAGGCTGAAGTTTACTGGAAATTCAGCAATTTCCTTGATTAAAAGAACATATCTTATATGACATCTGGTCTTAGAAAAAACTTACAGAGAATCAGCTTGTGATATAATTATGAAAGATAGAGAGACATTTTGAAAAAATATCTGATCCGACTAATTTAACAATGCAATGAAATCTAACTAAACTAAACATTCTGTTTATATGAACTTAGACCTGTTCATATGCCAACAATACTGTTTAGAATGCCTAAAACTTTGTTAAGTCAGCTTGAATAAGGATGTATTATGTCGTCCCTTAAACAAAAAAGTAAAAAAAAAATAAAAAAAATAAAAAAAATAAAAAAATAAAAAATAAATAAAATAATAATAATAATTGAGATTATATGAATAAATTTTACATCTAAAAAAACACCTTACACTACTTCTACTTCTGTAGTGATCTAAACACAGGGAGCTATCATACCAAGATTGCCAAACCACTGATGAGCTAATTCATGGGCAACCACT